CTAAACATGTTTGAACGACTAAAGCAAAAGATATACCTTTGTCGAACTTCTTGAGGAGAGGGAAGTCTGCCTTCCAGTGTCATTTCTGCTGGCATTTGTGGCACTTGTCTTTCGGCTTCTTCACCTTCTGTCGAGGTTGTGCGCCATTCATAACCGCCTTGCCCTTTCCTGCGGACTTCTTCCTCTTCTTGCCCTTAGGAGCCTTTGAAGTGGAAGCTTCTCCCTGCTGGGCCACCATAGCTTGGGTCTTCTGACGAAACAGGCCTTCTGTTGACTGAAGTCCAGAGACAAGTTCCGGATGAGTCATCAACATCTTATTCATGTTGTAATTCAATCGAAATTGCTTGAAGCTCTTCGGAAAAGACTGTAGCACTATATCGACCTGGGTTTCCCCGTCAACAAAAGCCCCAAGAACCTCCAGGTCATTCAGTTGGGCCATCATAGCAAGAACATGTTCCCTTATGGGAGTGCCCTCACGCATGGTCATGTTCATCAGAACCCTCATGACCTCTTATCGGGCAGCCCGCGAATGATGACCAAATAACTACTTGAGATTGAGAAGCATCTCTGCTGCAGTGTTCATAGACTGATGTTGATGTTGAAGTACATTTGACAAAGATGCCAAGATGTAACACTTCGCCATCTCGTCAGCATTTTTCCACTGAGCATACTCCTCTTTCTCTTGGTCTGGTGCATTGTCAGCAGGCACAGCCGGACAAGCCTCAACAGTAGCAAATTTGTACCCCTCAACAGTTAACACAATATCCAAGTTCCTTTTCCAGTCAATATAATTGGGACCAACAAGTTTGTTTTCTTTGTGAATTACGGACAACGGATTGAAAGACATTTTGAATTCCTGGGATCATGCAAACATAGTCTTTACTCAGTCAAGTAGTTTTGAATTTAAACATCAAATATTGATCCCATGTAACAATATTCAAATAAATTCACCAACACCTCAAAGCACCGAATCCCCGCATGCCACTGAGTGTGGATGTCTACAGTTCAAACATTCGCAAGAGGAGGGATAAATCCCATTAGCTTAACATATTGTCGAGCAATACTTAACTAATAGTCGGTTTCATCTTTTGGCCAGCGCAATTAACTTATAAAAGAATAAAAACGACCTTATACTTTGGGACTATCATAATTATTTTCACTTTAAGTGTAACCCATTAATTGGTACTAAGTTTACTACCCAAATTATACGTCCACCTTTGGGTGACCCGTACGCTTTTGAAATAGCTCACTATAACCATCCCGAAGGAGATTCGTCCTAGTGAACTGTGAAATAAAACGTCCTTTGGGCTCGAATTAAATCACTTCACTGACAAACCTACAATGGAGGCCTTGGATGTAATTTATTTAACCCATTACACACTTAATATAATTTTTACGGGATTTTCGAAAACATGCTCCAAATAATCCGATTTGCACATAAGCAATCACTTAAGAACATGCATGATTAATAAGCAATGATAAACTAGGAATTATAATCCAACTATCATGGTCATTAATCAACCTCCAATGTTACGGAGAAAACACAATCCTGTCCTTGTTGAGTGTGTCCTCCGATTTAGGTATTGGAACTCCCCTTTCGCAGTGACTCTCACTGAATTAGTCATCTCCGAGAAAGTCGCCACTGGATTCATCACCATGACATCCGTGTACGTGTTTATCGCCTCGCGTCGTCAAGGTTGGTCCACGCCCGCCAGATCAATAATGAATAATATAAACAACAATTACATCATTCATCCTATGACCCACGCAGGAGTCGTACATGAGTTTATGTGAAAGCAATAAACTATGCAGTGTCCCACCGCGCGAATAATTTTTTACAAGCATTCACCAACCCAAAAATTCCTCGACATGTTCGAGGCTTTAAAAACAGCATACATTCAACATGAATTAAAATCCATACATACGGGCCACAATAGGTGGATTCGAAATCACCTGCAAAAACTTATTGCAATTTCTAATCTACTATGCCGCTGTGTCCGTACACACATAATTCATGTAAACAGGTAAAGTCCAAATTCAAAATTGTGCACGAGGTTGAATTAAACCTGGGCTCTGATACCAGTTGTTGGGTTCTATGAGGAACGTCGAACAACATGCATAGTATTGAACTTATTGAAATAAATCCTAATGCAGCAGAATCTATAGTTAGGATATGGACGTTTACCTTTTAAAATTTTTGCCGACTCTGAGACGATGTAGAGTACCGTTGGTGTAGTTCGTCTGAATACCACAATCTAATGGGCGAATAGATTTGGCTTTTAGTCGATTCTAATC